TCAACCATTTTTACTGAAACAAAACACAAGTCTAACGCCGAGCCTCTGAATTAGCAATAAGCAAAAGAGTGCTAACGCACTTAGCACATAACTCACGGTAGAAATATGTTATACTTCATCGGATCTGCACAAACTAAATATCATATGAAAGCTGAGATTCCACAGATTCCAATGGTATAAGTATCATCACTGTGCGACCAAAACTCGCGGCAGCGAAAGCAAAACCAGACAGCACACAACTTCACTTTACGGGGCCAAAACGGCAAATACAGTATACGTCTTACCTTTGCTGTTTTCTGATCAAAAGTTGTGTTTAAGGGCATTACAACGCAGATAAACGCTGCTGAAGGTTAATCCAATGTCTCTTTGTCACTTTGAAATGATTACTGATAATCTATCATAACATTTATGTCAATAAGAGTAGTTTTCATATATAGCTGCTATGAGAGTGTATGAGAGCTGTAACCCAGCTTCCGGTTTTGGGCATGCTGGCTGCGCATCACTTTCATTCACCAATGGTAATGTTTAGATGGATTTAGGAACTCCCTCTCGATTCTATTGGCTCTATCGGTTAAAAAGAGGTGTCAATCATCAAAATCGACCAGTGGGTTCCAGAGATATGGAAAATCCACCCAAATGACCCCAGAGGTGTTTTTTTTCTTTCTAAATCTCTCTAAAAAGGTCAAATTTCACTTGTTTTGCATCAATCTTGAAACAGGGTACTTATATGTTATAGTTTGGATCCCTAAAGCTTTTTGTCTACTATCCCATCATTCAAGGGTGGTTTTAACTATATGTAATGTTTTCTTTTTGGACGGACACTATAATTTACATTTTTTTACTATGTTCAATCTGAATTTACTTTAAAATAAAAACATTCTATATTGATTCTGACTCTTCTACATCCAACTCACAGGTTTATCATTGCTTTGAGAAAAAAAGATTATTAATTTACCCCTTTTAGAAGTGAAGTTATAGTCATTTGTTCTGGGAATGTCATTTTTCGAGCCTGAAACCTGAAAAACAGGCTCAGGACTTAACAGGTTAAGGATCACTGAGCAGGTGAGTGCAGCCACGTTAAACAACCTGTTACTCCGCCCCATCTCCAGTGCACGCCCACCACCAATAATCATAGAAAATACCGCATAATAAATAGAAACACATACACCTTAAATGTGGCTCCTACAGTATGTGCACACATCACAGTAGTCACAAGGGTCAGTAAATCAGGACCCAAAGGCAGCAACAAATATGGTAGGCAGTTGTGAAAAACCTAAATCAAGTTTATTTAGGTGACAAAAACACAAAACTGAAAAAAGCAGGCAAGGTAAAACAAAGGGGAAAGAAGCAAACAAAATGAGGGACAAACCAGGAAGAGACGAGGACCATTCGAGAAACAGGAACAACAGACCGACAAAGAACACTTAGACAGACAGGCGTCTATAGAGACAGACTAATTACATCAACAAGACATAGCTGGAGAGAGCAAGACACAAGGACAGCAAGGAGATCTCACACAGGTGCTAAGAATCAGGGAAAACAAAGACAGGAAGTTCAACAAAGAGGAAACATTCTACACAAAAACCAAGATCATGACAACACTACACATTTCAAATGTTATATATGTGAAAGAATAAGCCAAACCAAACAAGTTATTCTTCATCTCCTGCCAGGTGAGCTGCTTATTTAGCTTTAGCTCGTTAGCAACATGCAACATTAGCATTGGCTAAATCCTGAGAGAACTCTGGCTCTTATCTCAAAACACTCGTAAAAATGTTGTGAAGTTTATAGAATACTAGAATATACTAGGACTTGACTTATTAGAAAGGACAGAATGATACTGATGATAGAAATACTCAGAATGAACGTCAGATGCAATTAAAGGAATTGTTTTGGAGGGCTAAATGATTCCCCAGGACACAGAGAGATGTGTCCCTATGATGTACTTCTTTTGTGAGACAATTAGTCACTGTTTTTGTGCGTGCGTGTGTGTGTGCGTGTGTGTGTGCGTGTGTATGTGCGTGTGTCTGTGTGTATTAAATGGACATCTAATGAAGGTGACTGTGGAAAGAAACCTTACCTCCCTCTTGGTGTCCTCCCGTGAGTCTCTTTCTCACCATCAGTCCCACCTCCTTCCCCTCATTTGTTGTCCTCTCCTCCCTTCGTTTTTGACTTTTTTCTATTTCTGGCCGTCCCCATCTCCCTCTGGTCCAACTCCACTGTCTGACCTCTCAGCTAAAAACAGGTCAGCTATCAATAACAACTTTTTAATTGAGTGTCACCAAACAAAAGCCAGGAACATCCAGCATCTTCTCCTCTGAAGCAAGCAGCAACCTTCAGGGCCGGGCAATGAAGGGCCGATAACTGCAGTTCATCTAATGGTCACTTGAGACTGGCTCCAAAAGGGAGTCAATCTCTAAAGTGCAGCGGTGACATATCCTTGTAGGCTGTCCTAGGAGTCGGTTCCTCAACAAAAATGCATTGGGATTTTTGAATTGGATTTTGTAAATGGCCTTAAGTTACACATTTTTAGCAGCATTGCTACTTTTAGTGACAGGAAGATGCTGTCTTATGTTGCTAGCTGCTAGCGTTTAGCCCAATTGCAACTAACATTTTTATATTAGCCGGAGTTTGACGGTTGCTTGAAAATGAAACATGTGTGACGTCAAGAAGAGTTCATCTCTCTTTTATAAAACGGACAAGTAAAATCAAGCAATCTGATTGGTTCTTAGCCGTGGTATACTGAGCGTATACCACGGGTAGAATTGTAAGTTACTTTTCACAACAAGTCAGTATCCCTCCGCGTCTGAGAAAAACAGTATACAGTTGGGCTGATAGGGAAACTGCTTGCAGTTTGCTTTTCAAACTGGAACAAGAAAGCAGCGGAGAAGTAACGGGGCAGAAACCCTCCTTTTTACGCAACGGTCCAGACATAGACATCAAACGGCAAAAACATATTCAGTGTGCAGTTCCTTTGGCATTAGGGCAGGGATATTTAGATACTTTCCAAGGTTTGATATAATGAATTGTGCTACTTTTAAAGCGAGCAACGATGTTTTCAAATCTGTAATCAAAAAGGTCTGCAAAAACATTTAAGATTAACTTCGACCTCCGGGGGGGGGGGGGGGGGGGTCTTACTATGGAGGAGTGGATTGAGGAGTGCCTATCTCCAGAACAAAAAGCACCTAAACGACGACACGTAGAGCTACGTGAAGAGCAGGTAGACCAACTGGAAAAGTATCACCATTCAAAAGCTTTCTGATGCGGGTCTTGAAACAAAGCAGAGAAATGATGACCGTTAGTGGCCACAGGTGCGAAAGCTCTCTCCAGAGCTACTGGAAGCCGAATCTCGGGGACCGGAGAAAGTGGAGCAATATTCTCGCCACGCCAAGCAACAGCCTAGAACAACCTCAGCCTATACAAGTAACCACGTAAGCCATGCTACTGATGCTGGACAGTTTTTCAGTGGGTGCACAATAAACGGCAACATACACATTAATGTAAATAAATAGCCAAATAATGGATCAACGCTCTCTGTCTAATATGTTCGCTAGCTGTTGTTAGTGTTGTTGCATAGCAACCACCTCGCACTATGTTTTGTGCAGAAGGCAACAGAGGGACTATTTTATTTTGAACATCATTATTTAATAATAACAACTATTTAAATTAGAGTGTGTATTTTTCATTCATATTGCCACACTTGGTAACCGTTTTATAAAAGCAATAGCTCACTTCAGGCCGTGATATATGCTCATTATATCACAGCTAAGGGGGTTGTCGACCCTCCGCTTCGCGTCGGGCCGAACCACGCCCCTTAGCTGTGATATAATGAGCATATACCACGGCCTGTCGTGAGCTATTGCTTAATTATACAGTCAGTGGTGTCTGTGAGTGTGTTGCTGCTTGTTTTCATGACTCTATCAGATGCTGCTTAAACGTAAACGACTCTATTTGAACAACACCTGTGGAATTAGAAATTCTAATAAAAAAAATTCTAATAAAAACTAACTGACTGAAAATAAATGCAAGTGATAAGAATATCACAATAAGGTTATCGAAGGAAAACGTATTTCAATGTTTCCATTATGTTGATTGAATTTTGAAAGATTTACATATCCTGCATAATGTTTGTATGTAAATATAATTGATATGGTCTGTGTAATTCAGATCAAAGCCCAGTGTTGCATTGAGTATTTTGCTTGATTTGAAATGTCATTTTTAATGTCCCTAAAGGAACAACATGGAACAGTGAGTAAGGATTGAATGAACGACATCAACTATGTGTGAGGAGAAACTGGAGACTGTATTATCATCAAACTATCAAGCCAACTGTAAACGATACAAACACACACACACACACACACACACACACACACACACACACACACACACACACACACACACACACACAGATACATTTGATTAGATAATAATGATTTGGATTCAAGTGGGTGTTTCGTCTCTCCACTCACACCACCCTCAACACCTCTTTATAGTTAGCTTTATGTTGCCATGGCGATGGACACCTGTGTTCCTGTTGTGTGTTCCTGCACGTCAGAAGAGGTGACAAGGGGTATGAGTCATAACTCGACTGTGTGAAGTTTACACGATTCTGTGTGTGCAGGCATGTGTGTGTACTGAATCATCTCAAATCGTCTCCCTACATCCTGATGACGGTGATATGTTGGTGATGTCACTCAAAATGGAAACCCTCATGAATTCAAATGAAACATCCCCAGACATGTATTGACATAAGGCTGATAGTAGTGCCGTGCGGTGGGTGGTCTGATACTTAAGCCCCAAGTCATGTGTGCGAATGTATGTAAAGCGCTTTAAGGGGTCATAAAGACTGGAAAGCGCTATATAATGCAGTCAATGTACCATTTATATATAAATGCAGCCCAAATGCAGCCCATTAAAGGCCAACAACATTGAGCTTTTGCAATCATTTTTGAAGTGAATTTTCTCTCAACGTGTCTCTTTCTCATTCCCTCCCTCAGAAACCTGTCCAAGAACCGCATGCTGACCACACTCTCCTGGCAGATCTTTGAACACCTGCAGCTCTTCGAACTGTAAGTCGACCAGTGTTCTTTACTTGCCTCACACTGTTAAATGTTGAAACAACCTAACATCAAGAGTCTGTGTGTGATGTCACATCTAATCACAAGAGGTCTATATAAGGCCTATATACGCACCTATATATATCTTTTAGGATGATAAGGTTTTCTTCAGGGCGGAATCTGAATCTTACAGCACGACAGTGTCATTGTAATATACATGCTAGTTTCAGACGGATGCAGTTGTCATTTTCATGTCCAGATTATGGGTGTTTAACTAGCCAATATGAAGTTGGTAATGCACTGTCCACTTAAATGAATGCAATATGAATGCAAGAATCCATGCAACCTTCTAAATAGGGGCCAAAAGAGTGGACATTTTGTCATAGTAATTATCTCAGTGTTAAAATTGTCTTTTTTTTTGTCAGACAGATTTTTTATCCAAGATTTACTTTGGGCAAAGCTGTCTATTTTAGGATTTCTCTGACCACATTGACACCTTGCTGCTGCCAATGTAACCAAAATATGTTCTAGCCATTTGTGTAGAGGGCCTTGCTCAAAGGCTCCTCAGTGATTGTTAGTTAGAAGGGGCAAGATCTTCTCTCCACTTTACCCTCCCAGATGTATCCTCAGTCTGGGGAGTTCCCGTCACTACCTGGCTCTGCCCTGGTTTTATAGCAGAAATACACAAAGGAACCCAACAGTAATACTGCTGAGTCATCATGTCCTAAATATAATTAGACATGAAATAACCGCTGTGCTCTCATTATCATGGTAACACTGCTCGTCTTCATATCAAAGAGTGAAATCTAAAAGAGGAGGGTCTCTACCTGTCTCGAGGGGCAGAGACCTCCTCAGTGAGGTTACACGCTCCACCTCATCTCCATTTCAAAGCTTTTTCCTCCTGTGATGATAATGTCCTTGTTTCAAAGTCTTTGACTCTAATGCTGCTGTTGCTGCTTGAAACTCTAGCTACAGGGAGAAACACAAATACAATCTGTACTGGGAGTATAGTCACATTTAAAAGTATCACATGGCTGCTGTCCATGGTGCTGAATCCTCCATTTGTAGGGAGATCTGTCTGGACTACTGGAAATTGAAGCAACATGCTTTTTCTTTTTGAATATTATGACAGCGGCTTCTTTCATTTTCTCTGCATGATTCCTGAAATGAACTGCTGCTCCTTCTGTGAGGAGAGCAGCAAAATGTACAAGGCTGAAATATTTGTAGAAATCAGGGACATGAAAAGCAGAGGAATGAGAGGGAGTGTGTGAACGTCTCACCTCTAGCTGGAGGATAAAAAGCTGTGCCGGATAATGGCATGACAGAAAGTCTAGGACTTTTTCAGGAGAGTATGCAGTGACTAGAATAAATCGGATCTGTAAGAGGTGATCTGAGAAAAGCTCCATTGAAGTTACTGCTTCATTATGGCTGTATGTCAGCGGCCATGTTTGTTGTGAAAAAGGGAAACTGTCCTGAAAGTCAACCCTTCATTAGTCCTGTAAGATGTGATGTCACCTCACGCCCTATCCAGTCCACCCAAACAAAATGTCTACCAGTTTAAGGGAGAACAAGATATTTCTCCAAAAATGAAATGTGTAAGAAGGCAAAGTAACCAAAAATGACTTTGTTCTGTAGAAATGGTTGATGACTTGATGACTTTAGCAAATATTTCCTAAATAGTCTTTAAGTATGCAATCTATGGGAACATACAGTATATTTGCCGATGGCTTATAATTAGGCGCGTTCACACCGGAGTACTTTTCCTGTTTAGTTCCGTTAGTACCCCTTATTTTGCGTTCACACCAAAAAGAGCACTTAGTGCCGGGAACTTTTACCCCCATTTTTAGTGCCTGCTAGAGAGGTGGTACTTTCCTGGGGAGAAAAAAGTACCAATTTCTATTGGCTGGGCGAATTGCAAACCACGCCCCGTAAAACTCTGAACAGTTTTTTGAACACAAAAAAAAACATGGGAGCGGTGGAGATGAGGAGGTGTCGGCGTTCTGGTGATTTACTCGGAAGGCTTCAGTAGAAGCTGCTGGGAGTCCCAGCAGCTTCTACTGAAGCCAGTCCCCAACTCCGGGGACTTCCGGCCGGGGACTTCGGGTGGCAGTATACGCCGTGAAGTGGTTTGCGGCCTGCCAGTAAACCCAAAGCAGAAGAAGACAAAGTGACGTCAGCGGCTTAATTTGCGTAATCTTCCCTCAGGGAACTTATTCCGGTGTGAACGCGATCTGTACTTAGTTCCATGGGGGTACTAAGTGTCGGGGCACTAAGTGCCGGCACTAAGTATGGCAAAGTACTTGGTGTGAAAGCGGCTATTCACTTATACACAGAGTTACTCAGGAACTTTTTATACTGTAATAAACTGACTTCCATTCAGCCACTTTCTCCCATATGGCATTTTCTTGTTATAACAACGTACATTAGGCACAAGCAAGTCCTGTGAGACAACAATATAATAATACAAATAATAATACATTTCAGTTACATAGGGATTCTCTAAATACTCAACCTAATTTTGCAAAAACATTTCATACAACAAAAAGATGCAGTATGAAAAACTACAATAGAAAGGATTATGGACTGGTTTTAGCAGTAAAAGCTAGTTTGTAAGGGAGCCTTTTTAGGGCAGCAACAGAGAAGGTGTTTGCATGTTCGAGGCAGCGGGTGTTACAGGGGAAGGGGGTCCTTTCTTTAGGGCTTTGTAGGTGGTGCAGTATTTTGAAGTCCGTCCTCTATTTACTGGGAGGCAGTCGAGGTTGTGATGGACCAGAATGATGGGGTCTCGGTGGCGGGTGGAGGTGAGTTGGCGGGTGGCGGAATTCTGTTTATTGGTGATTTTGTGTTTTGGGCAGCTGGAAAGTAGAGGGCCGTTTGGAGTCGGGCAGTGTTCTTGAGGTGGAAAACAGCAGTTAGGTTATGTGGATGGCATGCAGTAGAGGAGAGGGTGAGGTCAAGGATCATTGTTGCAGGGCTGGGTGTGGGGGGTGACGTTTGAGCTGTCAATATTTAGTGAGAATTACTTGGCAGAGCAGGTGAGGACATTTGGGAGGGATATTTTAGTATTCATGATTTTTTGCAGTTGAGTTGTAAGAACCCTGTTGCATTCATCATTACTAATCAGTCCTACGACAGGTTTGAGTGGGTGTGATAGAGTTATTTGCTGTTGTAATAAAAAAAGTAATGAGGAATCATTTGGTAAAATGTGTGAAACAGCTGAGATTAGCTGAGGTAATATAGGCCTCTTAGGCCTGCCATGATCGGTACTTACTTATCTGTCTATATTGACTGGTTCCCAATGGTTCCACTGATTTAAACAGTGATATTTCAGGAATTAAAGTTTATGTTGCAACTCCAACTGTGGATACTGTGAAAGAACCCACTGTATATATATCTTTATATATAAAGATATGTGTGTGTTACAACTTGTTCTGCCAACTTGAGCCTGTCAACAAGCCTCCAGCGATGCTCTCTGGGATATTTAAAGCAGCGCTGCTTGGATGCTAATAGTGTGATATTTCAAGCTATGAGCTGGTGCAGGCTGCTGGGGCTATTTGCAGCGCTGAGTGTGGGAGACTCACTCACACACACACACACACACACACACACACACACACACACACACACACACACACACACACACACACACACACACACACACACACACACACACACTTTAAGGTTAGTTTTCACGTTACAATGAAGTTCTGTTTAGAGCCAGGGTTAAGATTAGGCACTTAGTTTTGTTGGATACGTTTAGTGGAGCGTGAAGCAACAGAATGACTTGAAAATTAATGAAATTCAAAATAAAAAATCCTTTATTTACAGCAAAAAAGGCAGTCCAGATGAATGGTGAAAACTATAAAAAAGAGAGAACTAACATATTGAATATAGACACAAGCACACGTCAGTAAAAAAACAACAAATAAAACTATGTAAACATCCATGCTAAAAACAATTTGTAGCAGCATCTTCAAAGCTCAGTGAACATGTTTTCTTTTCCTTTTTTTGTTTCCCTTTATTTAACCAGGTGGGTCCCATTGAGATCATTGATCTCTTTTTCAAGGGAGACCTGCAGCAAGTAGGTTACACATGAAACATAAAACAACATAAAACAATAAAGGACATCATATGTACAGGGCTACATTCACATACCCATCGACATTTACAAGTACCAACAGTATCACAGAGCATTGCACCTATCCGAGCTTTAAAAACAGGCAGTGGAACCAAATTGCTCAGTTTCAATTATTTTTAAAGACTGTTCCGAGGAGCTGCGCACATAAAAGCTTTCGTACCTAAGGCAGTCCTTGCACTTGGCACATGTAACAAAGCCACATCATGAGATCTCAGACAATAGCTACCTGCAACTCTCTGTGTTATCAGAGAGCAGATATAATACGGGAGTTTACCCAACATGGCTTTATAAATAAACGTGTACCAATGACTGAGCCTCCGTACAGTAAGTGATGGCAAACCTGCCTTGGTATACAGGGTACAGTGATGTGTAAGTGCTTTACAATTTGTGACAAATCTCAGTGCGCTGTGATAGGCGGCATCTAACTTGTTCAGGCAATGGGCAGGTGCATTCATATAGATCAGATCACCATAGTCCAGCACAGGTAAAAAGGTCACAGAGACTCTTCCTGGCCTCAAGTGAGAAACAGGACTTGTTTCTAAAAAAGAAACCTAGCCTAACCCTCAGCTTTCTAAGCAGATTATTGACCTGAGGTTTAAAAGAGAGACAATCATCAAGCCAGATACCTAGGTATTTGTAACAGGTAACCACTTCAAGTACTTTTCCTTGCGTAGTAACAATAGGCGCGTTCACACCAAGTACTTTTCCCACAATAGTTCATGAGAACTTTAGTTCATGAGAGCTCTTTTAGTTCTGATGAACTAAAGCAGATCGCGTTCACACCAAAATGAGTTCCTGGGGATGGATTAGGCAAATGAGCCGCTGACGTCACTTCTTCTTCTTCTGCTTTGGGTTTACTGGCAGGCCGCAAACA